AGGTTTGTCAGCACCATACCCGTGCTTGTGGGTTTCACCGAGGTGGTAAACGTCTGAGACCTGCATCACTTCGGGCTTTCCTCCCACATTAAGCTGACACGTCGCGATATAACTGGATAAACTGTTAAAAGCGGCGTTAAACCCAACTCACTCACTCACTATCTCAGTTATATAAGAGCGTGTCAGAGAGGAAATTCCAGAGAATCTTTGTGAGACCCATTAGCGAGAGACCGCCTTCATGGTCTAGTGGATAGAGCCTCTGCCCGGAGAACAGAATATCCGTGGTTCGATCCCCTGGTCGCGTCATACCAAAAGACGTTACAAGTGGTACTTGTTGTTACATGTACTTGCTCCCCATGTATAACTGAGGCATGTTATATCAGTGGTGTTTGCACTATAAAACCGGATAAGCCCGGACTAGTACAAGCAGCCAAACACACACGTTTATGCACGTCGCTATGTAAGCGCAATAATCTTGAACGTTACGTTAAAACCCATTTTAAAAACCTAAATCACCTTCTAGCGCCTCTGGGAAGTTTGGTTTGTATACTCACCAGGGAGTTGAGAATGATAACTGAATGCAAACGGATCCACTGGTTGGGGAACAAATAAAACCGCATTTGAGCAGATACAAGTACCTTGATACCTGCCGTATATAAATGTATATATTTAACCTCATAAGGTGAAAGCGATGTTATCCTCATTACTTGTGATGCTGACGCTTCAAAGATTCGATTCTGATTTGATGAAGAGGAGGTTAAATATTCCACAATATCCATCTGCCAACTTCATGTTTTGTTTGTTTGTTTGTTGTTTAACGCCCCACTTAGCAATATTCCAGCTATATGAAGGAGGTCTGTAAATAGTTTAGTCTGGACCAGACAATCCGGTGATTGACACCATGACCATCGATCCACGCAATTGGGATACGATGACATAAATCAACCAAGTCAGCAAGCCTGACCACCCGATCCCGTTAGTTGCCTCAAACGACAAGCATAGTTGTTGCCTTTTACGGCAAGCTGACTTCAAGAATATGCAACAGGTCATAGCTCTTTGTGACCAACCTATCGCGTGTGTTATGATTGATGAACCTGTAGGTTCGTGCACGTATATGATAATGGCTTTCTTGAAGTTGGTGAATAAGTAAGATACCGTACTACCCGTGAAGATCCGGGGTAGAATAGGTCTTCAGCAACCCATGCTTGCAGTAAAAGGCGACTATACATGTCGTAAGAGGAGACTAACGGCATCGGGTGGTCTGTCTCGCTGACTTGGTTGATGCATGCCATCGTATCCCAATTGCGTGATCGATGCTCATGATATTAATCACTGGATTGTCTGGTCTGGCATTATTTACAGACCGCCGTAATATAGCTGGAATATTGCTGAGTGCGGCTTTAAACAATAAACAAACAAACAAGAAAGAAAACGTACCACTTTAAGAATAACAACTTCTGGTTTATTGCATATAGCGACGTTTCGATGTAGATTCTTACACCGTTATCAAGCTATCACTCAAGCCTGGTAACAGTGTAAGAATCTACATCGATGTCGCTATATGTAATAAACCAGAAGTTGTTACCCATAAAGTTGTACGTTTTCTTACTTAGGTCATAGACCGTGCCTGAAAAGGCTGACGCACTAAGATCATACTTTAGGGGGAATCGGATGGGTGGGTTTTTTAAATTCCCACCAGTTAACGTACGTGAAGATAGTTTTTGCACGCAATACGCTTCTCCTCATCTGTATGAAGTGTTCCAGAGTCCAGATCAGACGGCTTCCTTCAAACTGCTAAACTGTCAAGGGATACATCTTATTATAGATGGCGACAAATGAATATTTTACTACCGCTTTGATGAATTTACCAAGAAGACAACATTGCATGAACAGGGCAAAACGCGGGGATGCACTTACTCAACCATCACGGTCACTGTGTCAGACCAAGCCACATCCTAGGTAACCCAGATACTTAGGTGAGTGGATCGATGCTCCGGATGCCAATCGCTGGATTGTCTGGTCCAGACTAGATTATTTACCGGCCGCCGTCAAATAGCTGGAATTACGTTGAGTGCGGCGTCTACAACAAAGTTAGGTGAAGCGGTTTCAATAGATTGTTTTAAAAGCGGGGAAGGAATCTTTGTTTGAATATTAAACAAGAACGGATGACTATATCTGGCTGTATGTAACTCCCAAGCCAGATCCTCAGGTAACCCAGATACCTCAGGTAACCCGCCGTCAAATAGCTGGAATTACGCCTTGCGGCGTCAAACAACAAAGTTATGTGAAGTGGTTTCAATAGATTGTTTTAAAAGCGGGGAAGGAATCTTTGTTTGAATATTAAACAAGAACGGATGACTATATCTGGCTGTATGTAACTCCCAAGCCAGATCCTCAGGTAACCCAGATACCTCAGGTAACCCGCCGTCAAATAGCTGGAATTACGCCTTGCGGCGTCAAACAACAAAGTTATGTGAAGTGGTTTCAATAGATTGTTTTAAAAGCGGGGAAGGAATCTTTGTTTGAATATTAAACAAGAACGGATGACTATATCTGGCTGTATGTAACTCCCAAACCAGATCCTCAGGTAACCCAGATACTAAGGTGAGTGGATCGATGCTCCGGATGCCAATCACTGGATGACTATATCTGGCTGTATGTAACTCCCTGTTTATATGTTGTCTAAACGTAGCTGCAATATGTATAAATTTGACCGACTTTCTCCTTCTAGGGCGGTCTGTTAATATAGTGGAACCGTTGGAAAACGAACGCAAGACGTTTTTCTTTAACTTTTTTTATTCATATGTTAGTGGCAGTTTTTGTTATCCTATGAGCGACGTTCAGACATATATCCTGACAATAATGTATTCCCACATCTCAGTCAAACAACAAATGTATTCCGGATATTGCAGTCAAACAACAATGTATTCCCAAAATTTCAGTCAAACAACTCTGTATTCCCCACATCTCAGTCAAACATCACTGTATTCCCCACATCTCAGTCAAACATCTATGTATTCCCCACATCTCAGTTAACATATGCATCAATGTATTCCCCACATCTCAGTCAAACAACAATGTATTCCCCACATCTCAGTCAAACATCACTGTATTCCCCACATCTCAGTCAAACATCTATGTATTCCCCACATCTCAGTTAACATATGCATCAATGTATTCCCCACATCTCAGTCAAACAACAATGTATTCCCCACATCTCAGTCAAACATCACTGTATTCCCCACATCTCAGTCAAACATCTATGTATTCCCCACATCTCAGTTAACATATGCATCAATGTATTCCCGACATCTCAGTCAAACAACAATGTATTCCCACATCTCTGTCAAACATCACTGTATTCTCCACATCTCAGTCAAACATCTATGTATTCCCCACATCTCAGTTAACATATGCATCAATGTATTCCCGACATCTCAGTCAAACAACAATGTATTCCCCAAATCTCAGTCAAACAACAATGTATTCCCCACATCTCAGTCAAACAACAATGTATTCCCCACATCTCAGTTAAACATCAATGTATTCCCCACATCTCAGTCAAACATCAATGTATTCCCGACATATCAGTCAAACAACAATGTATTCCAATCGTTTACCGAAGTTTTGATTGTGAGGCAATATACTATTTCATTTACTGGGTCACTTAACTTACTCTCTTCCCCGGTGTACTTGTTGACTGCCCTGTCTGGTGCTAGGTATTAAATGGAAAAACAAGGACTGGTCGGTTCGGAGTGAATATGCTGTCTGAGTGGGATATCAGCTTAGCACGAGGGACCAACACAATGTTCTGGTTTTCAGATCTGAGGCTTCGAACAGGCTTGTAAGTAGAGAGAGGTTCAGTAAGGTATGGATGGAGGTGTAAGACCATGCTTACATTTGTATGCTAAGCACAGGGTCTTAAACTGTCATCTATGCAGAAGTCCAATGTATAACTTAAGAGAACACTGGTATGATTTGGAATCCAACATGTGATGGATGTTTATTTGTTTGTTGTTTAACGCCTCACTCAGCAATATTCCAGCTCTATGACGGCGGTCTACTAATAATCGAATCGACAATACAGCGATTGACATCATGAGCATCGATCTTTGCAATTGGAATACGATGACATGTTTGTTTTGTGTGTTGTTTAACGCCGCCCTCAACATTATTCCAGCTATATGACGGCGCCATGAAATGTATCAACCAAGTCAGAGAGCCGGACCACCCGATCCCGTCCGTCGCCTCTTACGACAGGCATGCTGAAGACCAACTCTAAACCGGATTCATGGTCAATAATCAAGTGAACATGTTCATAAATAATTACTAGCATCAGTACCTGTTAGACCTTTAAACAACATTCCGTAAAGAAAGTAATAAGATATGTGCATAAACACGCACGCGATCCGTGCACCCACTGTCACCATGGTGACACGTGTGTCATGGGTCATGCACGGACGAGAACATGAAAGATTGCCAGATGTGAATTATAAACCATACAAATTAGCTGAAAGCCGTTAAAAACCAATCTAGTTAATGAAAATGTTACTGTTAATTATCCGGTTTTAGCTTAACATGCGTTTACATCGACTTTGGGGTGATATACTGATCCCATTACACCGAGGTTAACAGGCGCATGTGCATTTCCATAATCCAGAACTCATCCGTGTTTTACATTAATAATTAGTAACTGTTATAAATTAAAGCGTATGGATAAAAAACAAATTGTGAAGTATATTTCCCAGGGCCGTAGGAGAGATTGGGGCATGTCGCTATAGTCAGATGGTACCAGATGCGTGGAGGTGATTATCCCGAGGGTGTTACATGCGATGTTGTGGACAGAGATTCTGGGAATGAAATCTGATGATTACGATAGCATGGAAGATGCATATATCAAGGCATATGGCATCAGATGATGTGGACGATGATTCCGGAAATATTACACGTCACTCCATGCGCAAGGGGACGTATGCATCAGATAATGAAAACTCAGAAATATGACATCCAACGGCGTGGTGGCGCCCGATGACGTGGACCATGGTGCCAGACATGTGACACCTGATGACATGGACAATGGTGCCATACATCTGACACCTGATGACGTTGACGATTGTGCCACACATTTGACACCTGATGACGGGGACCATGGTGCCAGACATGTGACACCTGATGACGTGGACCATGGTGCCAGACATGTGACACCTGATGACGAGGACCATGGTGCCAGACATGAGACACCTGATGACGTGGACCATTGTGCCAGACATGTGACACCTGATGACGAGGACCATTGTGCCAGACATGTGACAACTGATGACGAGGACCATGGTGCCAGACATGTGACACCTGATGACGAGGACCATGGTGCCAGACATGTGACACCTGATGACGTGGACCATGGTGCCAGACATGTGACACCTGATGACGAGGACCATGGTGCCAGACATGTGACACCTGTTGACGAGGACCATGGTGCCAGACATGAGACACCTGATGACGTGGACCATAGTGCCAGACATGTGACAACTGATGACGAGGACCATGGTGCCAGACATGTGACACCTGATAACGAGGACCATGGTGCCAGACATGAGACACCTGATGACGTGGACCATTGTGCCAGACATGTGACACCTGATGACGAGGACCATGGTGCCAGACATCTGACACCTGATGACGAGGACCATGGTGCCAGACAGGTGACACCTGATGACGAGGACCATGGTGCCAGACATGTGGCACCTGATGACGAGGACCATTGTGCCAGACATGTGACACCTGATGTCGAGGACCATGGTGCCAGACATGTGACACCTGCTGACGAGGACCATGGCGCCAGACATGTGATACCTGATGACGTGGACCATGGTGCCAGACATGTGACACCTGATGACGAGGACCATGGTGCCAGACATGTGACACCTTATGACGAGGACCATGGTGCCAGACATGTGGCACCTGATGACGGGGACCATGGTGCCATACATCTGACACCTGATGACATGGACCATGGTGCCAGACATGTGGCACCTGATGACGTGGACCATGGTGCCAGACATGTGGCCCCTGATGACATGGACCATTGTGCCAGACATGTGACACCTGATGACATGGACGATTGTGCCATACATCTGACACCTGATGACGAGGACCATGGTACCAGACATGTGACACCTGATGACGAGGACCATGGTGCCATACATCTGACACCTGATGACGAGGACCATGGTGCCAGACATGTGGCACCTGATGACGTGGACCATGGTGCCAGACATGTGACACCTGATGACGGGGACCATGGTGCCAGACATGTGACACCTGATGACGTGGACCATTGTGCCAGACATGAGACACCTGATGACGTGGACCATTGTGCCAGACATGTGACACCTGATGACATGGACGATTGTGCCATACATCTGACACCTGATGACGAGGACCATGGTACCAGACATGTGACACCTGATGACGAGGACCATGGTGCCATACATCTGACACCTGATGACATGGACCATGGTGCCAGACATGTGGCACCTGATGACGTGGACCATGGTGCCAGACATGTGACACCTGATGACGGGGACCATGGTGCCAGACATGTGACACCTGATGACGTGGACCATTGTGCCAGACATGAGACACCTGATGACGTGGACCATTGTGCCAGACATGAGACACCTGATGACGAGGACCATGGTGCCATACATCTGACACCTGATGACGTGGACCATGGTGCCAGACATGTGACACCTGATGACGGGGACCATGGTGCCATACATCTGACACCTGATGACATGGACCATGGTGCCAGACATGTGGCACCTGATGACGTGGACCATGGTGCCAGACATGTGACACCTGATGACGAGGACCATGGTGCCAGACATGTGTCACCTGATGACGTGGACCATTGTGCCAGACATGAGACACCTGATGACGTGGACCATTGTGCCAGACATGAGACACCTGATGACGAGGACCATGGTGCCAGACATGTGACACCTGATGACATGGACGATGGTGCCATACATTCGACACCTGGTGACGTTGACGATGGTGCCAGACATGTGACACCTGATGACGAGGACCATGGTGCCAGACATGTGACACCTGATGACGTGGACCATTGTGCCAGACATGCGACACCTGATGACGTTGACCATGGTGCCAGACATGAGACACCTGATGACGTGGACCATGGTACCAGACATGTTACACCTGATGACGAGGACCATGGCGCCAGACATGTGACACCTGATGACATGGACGATGGTGCCATACATTCGACACCTGGTGACGTTGACGATTGTGCCACACATTTGATACCTGATGACGTGGACAACGATGCCAGACATGTGACACCTGATGACGTGGACAACGTTTATGACGTGGTTGATAATGTCGGCATATACCATCCAGTAGAGTTGATATCCAATGTATTTATGTCCATGTCGTAGCGTACTAGAGTATCTGATCAGGACCGCGTTGCATTTTTTCATTTATTAAATTAGCATTATTGGTAATTCATAGAAGTATGCTTATATGCCCCGGGGGCATCGCCGAATCGACTTCGATATCCAATTGAATAAAAGCTCTCGTAAAATATGTCCGTAACCCATCGATAATTTCCTTGTCGGTGCGCTTTTACTGGCAAAATGAAAGCTTTGTATATACAGATAATTACAAGTCACATATAATTAACACTTAGTGGTAAGTTTTCACGTCGTCTGCTGGTCTCTTAAGGACCCAAGAGCATATATGTAGCAAAATAATCCCCTCCGCTGTTCCATTTATATCTTCCGCTCAGCTCCAGCAGCCTCTACTCAACCCCTTTCCAGTTATGATTTGTTTGTTTGTTCTTTAACGCCGCACACAGCAATATTCAAGCTATATGACGGCGGTCTGTAAGTAATCGAAGCTGGACCAGACAACCCAACGACTGACATCATGAGCATCGATCCACGCAGTTGGGATACGATGGCATGCATCAACCAAGTCAGCGAGCCTGACCATCCGATCCCGTACGACAAGCATAGACGTCTTTTACGGCAAGCATGGGTTGCTGAAGACCTATTCTACCCCGGATCTTCACGGGTCTTCCAACTATGAAGTTGGGACTCTGGCTTGAGGGTTCCTTTAATACTCGTTGGTTCTTTTGTAGAATTCGTTTCATTTAACTTATGCAGAACTTTACTTCGGGGATTATATGTTTGTCTAAATGTCTTCCTATGGGGAAATATGCGTGATTGTTTCACGGTAAACATAATTTGTGCAGCCCTTTTCCCTGCGGATGATGCTCAAAGTGCATCAGTTTTACACCAGTCACTTGATAAGTGTGTACTCGAATTACACTCTCATCTCCCTGGGGAGTATCAGTGTAAGAATCTTCAATAATGGGCAAAATATCTAATATCCTCAATACATACATTTATTGCAACATCTATCAAATATCTCAATTACATTAAATGCTTCTTAAAATATGTACTACGCGTTCTGTTTTGAACATAATAAGAATCTGATTAATACATTTTCAGACATTTTGTAATGAAACATAAAAAGCCAGGGATGATAAGCTACACGTAGTCCTATCTAAATGCTTATCTTAACAACTGGACAAACCTAGCATTATGCTGTGTCATGCTTCCTTAATAACATGGACCGTGTGAGTTGGCGGGTGTTCTCCGTCAAGGGAAAACTGACGCCACTCGGATCTGTCAGTAATTAACTGTCTCAACTACTGAACCTAAAAACATACCTATCACCTTGAACGATCATCGCCTCAAACAACACTGAAATGTATGGTCCAGTTTCATGCCACATAACAACCCACTGTTTGAAACGTTTCGATGCATTTCCATCTCATGTTAGCCTGTGGAATGTGGTTGGGGTGTTATCAATTTCGTCCATCTTGCATACTTGAATTTATGTACTTGTCGCTGGCTGGATGATACGAAAAATGGCGTAGTTAGGGTTAACATGTTTATTGATAACATCACTCATTCAGTAACAGTAAACTTAATGAAACATTTACTTCAATAGCATATGATATCACTGCTTACGGGGAACCATTTCGTTGAGCAAATCTGGTATTTGATCAGAAAGACGATACGAAACCCCCTTCCATTCTTGATTCGTTTTCGCCAAATTCAGATTTTGAACTGTACCAAGGTTGATTTTGTATAGAAAAAGATGAAAATCCATGGAAGCTTTTTCTTCGTTCGTAAGCTCAATATACATTAAAGAAACGCCTGGTATCAATATTCGTTATTGCCTGTGGTCGTGTTAACAAATGACAATCACACACGTTAACACATTAAGTAAATGGATCAAGTTACATTATGTCTTCTTAACGGTCATAGACTCGGCAAATGACTCTGGGATCCTTTCACCAGCATATGCAATTTTCAGATTTTCTTACAAATTTCCTTTCTCATGCATGCACGCTCTTCTTATTCAACCCCACTTCACACTGAAGGGTAATGCGTTGCCGGTTCCTTTAACCCATCGTGGGAACTGTTTCGTCGGTCTTGCACCGAGAGTCACATCTTACGTCTAATTGTACGTGTTTTCAAACATGAAGTCATCTGGTGTGGTGCATTACACGTGCGTATGGTTTTCTGGTTGAGATATAATTAAAACAGGCTCGAGAAGGTAGAGCTAATTCACGCGGTTTAACTAATGTGTAGTTTGTATAAGATATCGCGGTGAGTTTTGTTTGATTACCTAGGAATGATTTGTTTCTTTTTGCCATGTTCCAGGGTGTATTTATTTTGTGGTGCCAAATATATTTTCAAACAGCCATGAGAGCAGACAAGAGAAACAAACATCACTTGTGTTGACATTAGTTAGTTTGATAAGTTGTGAAAGGCACATTTTCAGTGAAACTCTAATGTGATGCATGAATTTACATCTGATTTATTTTGTCTTTCAGCTGGCGCCTTCTGTAACGGTATATGTCCGATGCAATATACAGAGGAATCTAACAAAACATGGGACAGCCTATCCATATCGATGAAAACGCGTGTCATCACTGTGGCTTTCGATTCTTCCTTCGTGTTCTCAATATGTCTGTTAACTTTCATTTTATGTGTTTCATAGATGCATATATATAGAGGCATTATACATAGATGCATATAAATAGATGCATATACATAGATACATAGATGCATATACATAGATGCATATACAAAGATGCATATACAAAGATGCATATACATGTACATAGACGCATATACATAGATGCATATGCATGCACATAGATGCATATACATGCACATAGATGCATATACATAGATGCATATACATAGGTGCATAAAAATAGATGCATATACATGCACATAGATGCATATACATGCACATAGATGCATATACATAGATGCATATACATGCACATAGATGCATATACATAGATGCATATACATAGATGCAATATAGGAATATGAATACCCAAGAAGCATTGCCGTTTTCATTCACATGACCTATGCAAATCAGTTTTGGCAACTACTGAACATCATTACATAAAAAACCACTGGATTTGTATGTCAGCTGGCTGTAAGTTATCAGTTTGAATCATTATGGGAGCTGATGAAAAGACAATACAACAGTGTTCGCAAAGTAATAATTTCAAACACATTATTCTTTCGTATTATTGCCGTGTCCCTGTGACGTCTAAGCATTACTCACTGACACATTACAGTTTTTATTTACGTTTGTGATGTAATTGTGCCAACATGTTCACAACTGTAACAAAATAATTTACATAATAGACTCCCTTATCAAAATATTGACCAAAGTTATTTTCATAAATTCGTTTTTATGATGATCATTTCATCAACAGGAAATACCAATTCACGTTCATTTCAGGTTCAGAGACATTATTCACAGACCTGCTACAAAACACATTCTAAAGGACAAACTCTCACTCCTTAAATTTCTCAACAGGCACAAGCGATATCAGGGGTTGCAGACATGCAAATCGATGCAACATGATATGCATTCAAACATGCCAGACATGTAAGGGAGTGCACAATCAAATAGCGGTCAAAGCTGTCTGGTGTCACTGTTTGTTGGTTTACTTATGTGCACTCATTTGTTCCCCTCCAATCTCCATCTATAACCACGTTCTCACCAAGCTTCCACCCTCCGTGTTTCCTTGTTAATGTCAAAACATCCGGGCATTAGGGGCTAATCGGTAATCATGCACTTCGTGGAGTATAACAAATCCTGGGTCTACACTGGAAGTACAATAGTGGCATGTTTTTACACGAAAGGTTGAAATACGTTACTGGGACATTTTGTAGGAAAAAGGGCGTTTTGTATCGACACTCGCACTGCATCAGTGAAAGCAGCGTTAATGGATGTTTCACATTTCATTTCAATGTAAATGTTATACGATCTGTTAAGTGCAATTTGGGGATTACGTATCTGTATGAAGAGTTAGACATGCTCTGTTGAGGTTCATGTTGTTGAATAAAAATCACTTTATGTAGAAAGCGAAAGGGCGTAATAATGTGTATTTGGGTTACGGAAATCTAAAGTTGTAAAGTATTGATGGGACTTTTCAAATATCGATAATTCGTCAAATTTTATCAACAACTGATTTATCGGAAAAGTAAACTTTCTGAATTGTGTGCTTCCTTTACTAAACGTGGGGGGGGGGGGGGGGGGGGGGAGGGGGGGGGCAATAGGAAGAATACTGAGTTGGACTTTTTTATGTAACTGAATATTGAAAAACATTTGTTAAATTTGATTACGTCTATCTAACCATCACTCACTTCTGGCTGGGTAATTTTGGGTAAAATTAAATTGATACAATGAAGACCGCATGACCCGTACCATGTTTGAATTTTGAAAAATTGTGGGTGCGTGAGTATGGTTTTACGCCGCTTTTAGCAATATTCCAGCAATATCACGACGGGTGTAAATTTGTGCCGATAAAGCAAAATAATTGATTTTCAAATATATTATGTGTTTTAAAACATACAACCAAGTAGAGGTATTCTTTGAGTGTTGACTAAGCACCAGTAAAGTTCTTTTTGGGCATATTACAAGATATTTTCAATTAAAAATCAAACATATGATAAAATCAGCTGAGAGATGTAGTTTCTTTTACACCTCGTTTCATAAATCCTTCTTGATATCATGTTCCAGTCATTTGGCAAGTCTATAAACATGCCTTTTATTTGCCAAGTAAACACTGAAGGAAATAATAACCAAACAACACTACACGGTAATATTGTTTAAGAGGATTGTTTATTTACCCATGCTTGTGTGCCATGAAACGAGAAATGCAAAGCCTACTACAACAAATACATTATACATGTACATATATACTTGCATCCCAGTCAAGAAATAACACCAAAAAAACAAACTCAAGAAAACAAGTATTTCTGCATCCCAGGCAAGAACGAGCTCAAAAGACAAGTCCCATGAATCACCCTGATGGGACAACGGGTTTCCGAGCTAGCAAACCGTTTCCTCGTGGTTAAAACCATAACAGTGAGTGAGTGAGTGAGTTGGGGTTAACGCCGCTTTTAACAGTATTCCAGTCATATCACGGCGTGTCGGAAAGCCCGAAGTGATGCAGGTCTCAGACGTTTACCACTTCGGTGAAACCCACGAGCACGGATATAGTGCTGACAAACCTAGAAACATAATCGGGGCAATCCGGGATTCGAACCCACAATCATAGGTTTCTGGCGTGCCCAAGGGACGCAACTCTGCACAGCGAATCGCGGCGCCTTAGACGACTGGGCCACCCGTGCCCCCTAAAACCATAACACCGATACAACAGATTCGGTCACTGGTCTCTAATTTGCCTTTGCAATGTCATATTAACAACCATGAGAGTAATCAGTCTTTATTATCTACAGGAACAAATTCCATCTGACGTAAAGAGGCCAAATAGTGATGATAACTTATAAGAAAAGGTCACTGAAGACCAGTGATGACACCAGATGTTCGCTACGATTCTATATAGTTTCCTATTGGTGTTGGGAAACGATGGACATGAAGACATAGAGTTAAGCATTATTGTACCATCTCAATTTAAGCAAACTATGGTTATAACGAACTCAAAGGGACCACAAATTTTAGATCGTAATAACCGTAGTTCGTTATAAGCATATATATACACCAAATGGCCGGGACCAAAAAACAGTTCGTTAATCCGCCAGTTTGTTATAAGCGTGTTCGTTATAAACGTAGTTTACAATATGTCGAGAAAAAACATAGTATTTTTTTTATAAAAATGATGACAATGACAGGGGAAATGAAACAGGATTATCAAATCAAAGTTGGTCTTTGATTGATTCATATTTGAATATCAAGCATGTACGTGCAGCAGTGCAATATAGTATTAAGGGGAGACTATTTCTTATGAGGATGAAAAAGGTTCTGTCGTTTGTAATTTACACGAAAGTTTATACAAAAATCGATAAGTAGTCTGTAACATAAAGGCGAATTATTTTCATTTATTTAGGAATTGTATATTCGCATTGGTTTTACATACACTTTTGACATCACACCATACTACCAGGTCTGTTTGTAAGGACATACATGTGTACATACTATAGGAGTCTAAAACGAACCAATTCTCTTCCCTGATTATATCCAATCCACATGCAATTATAGCCTGGCCGCCATTTTGATGTCTCTGCGACAGGCTGGAGTCCTTTCAAGTGTTCGGCACCTGTCACCCCTCTCCCCCTTGACCCCCCTCTCCTACCCCTCCCCCGACATCCTCTCCCCACGCCCGTCTCCCTTCCAGTGACAACATGACGATAACCACATCCACAGAGGCTCACCATCAGATGACACATGGGGGAAGCCAGATATCAACGTTTGAACTTTTATCTAGTTGTTCCCATGTGTTTGTGGCGATCCTGGGATTACAACATCACGTGATTTCTTATGTATGCCCAGATAGCAGATAGCACACAGAAGCCCTACTCCGATCGTGCAGATATAATTTTGTAAAGAGGATTCTGAAGTCAAGGTTATCGGCATCATGCTGACTCAAGGGCGTTTTTTTAATCACCACTTAAATCAGTTAAATGATGCGTGAGACTTTTCCATTTAGGAGATTCAGCTGGTTGGAATAATGTCGCATGTGTTCCTGATGATTACATACACAGAATCATACATATATACATGCTTCCATGCTTGTATGCATGCACATGCACATACATACATACATACATACATACATACATACATACATACATACATACATACATACATACATGCTTTTAGTTTTTAGTCTATATGGTGTATATATGCTTATAACGAACTACGGATATTACGAACTAAAATTAGTGGTCCCTTTGAGTTCGTTAACACCGTAGTTTACTGTATATATGCAAGTTTTTATGCATTTATTGCATATATATGCATTTTGGGGGGAATCTCGACTAAACGGAATTGCTTAAATTTGTGTAACAAATTCATTCCGTAAATAGATGTAAATACTCCAGCGAGTTTGAATGCATGATTATTGTGAAATTAGTTGTGTCTGTCGGGAGTAGAGTGAACGTGTACAGTTGCAATGTGTAGAACAGTTCTGAGGCTACACCCTACTACAGTGGATGTATAGTTCACCCATAGCAGTGTCCATGTATCAACTACAACACTTTCAATGCTTACAGGCTGCATTAGAACAAAGTACTCAACCAGGCAGCCTATTTCTGAAGGTATCAAAGTGACATGTATTATATCGACAGTATAAACTGCCAAGCATCACGTATCTCCAACTGAAAGGACTAACTCCAACAGGCATCCATAAGGACATGGTGTCAACTTCAGGGGATGATGCTCCTACCTTTATCACTGTTAAAGAAGTGGGCAGCAAAGTTCAAGAGACCTTCGACGATGATCCAAGAAGAGGAAGATCTTCAACCGCTACCCTTAGGAAAATGTTGATGAAATACTTGAAATAAGTATTGATGATCGACGACTCATCACAAGTCACATTCGGTATACATCTCTCATGGAGAATAGTGTGACGAATGAACTGGGTATGACAAAGGTTTCAGCACTCTGGGTGTCAAGGATTCTGGCTCCTGGTCGAAAACGTCCCAGGTTCATCATCTCCCTTGCGATGTTAGGTTGTTTTGATTTTATAGCCATTTGTAACCAGGGATGGGGCTTGGGTTCACCTCTGCCAACCAGAGACTAAACAACTGTCAAAGCAGTGAAAACATCTTACATTTCCTCCTCCATCGAAGGCAAGGAATGTTCGAACCCTTCAGAAAATTGTTTTAGATCCGACACATAAATACATTTTGATACAAATAAACAATGTGGATAGAAGAAGCAGAAGAATTTATTTTGTACAGAACACCCTCGTAGGGCAGGGTACAAACTATCGACATATGGACATAAATATAACTATAGACATGAGAGGTAGATATACATAATGTACATTATATGGAGAGATATTATTTTCATTTACAGTATATAAACATTTATGTATGTATGACGTGGCTGGCAGCGTACACATAGTGTTGATACTGTATTGATAGAATAGAATAGAAATTTTTCTTTCCTTTTTATGGTACAAATACGCCCACTTGGGACCTGGTACAAAAAAGCATGTATATGGTAGAGATGAGAACATGGTATATATATATACAACATAAATGCATGAATTTATCTTATCTAATTAGGGCCCTTATGTTGTTTTCAGCTTAAACATGCGAAATACAGTCCTGGCAACAAGACCTGACCATTCGGACAGAACCTATTTTCAACTGGAGTGCTGGAGTATCTTTAACTTTCAATTTCAAAGCTGTGAAGACTCAGTCGGAGATTGGTAAGGGCCCTTCTGTGGCTTGTATTCTTTCACAGTTGTGAGATAGATTATCTTTTAATCCATATTTGTCATTTATCCGCCCCAGATGTCGCAGCTTATGGTTTACACCGGTTTGCACCTGGTCAGTTTCAATGAGATACAGATCTTTAAACTTTGATATCAGGCTTTTTTAAGTGGTGATGTTTCGATGGGGACCTTCAAGTATCACACTGTGGAGAAGACAATCAATGGATCAGAAGTAGATTTAAACAGCTGACAGCCCCATATTTCAGAACCGTAGGATGCTATTGGAACCACAAGGGCATGATAGAGTCGTAGAAAGATTTCTATGGATAAATGGGTATTTGTTGTCAGACTGTGTTAAATTTTGAACCAAGCCCGCATAGCCTTTCCTTTCAAGGTTGAGATTGCTTTCTTGAAAGAACCATTTTGATGACATATTAGCCGAAGGTAGGTGTATGATTCACTGATTTCAAGCGGCGCTGTCCCTACATTAAAATGAACATTCAAACTACAATAAGTTTGGTTTTTGATATATTAACTTTTAATTTCCAGTCCTCTGTAAATCTGCATAAGGTATTAATGCTGGTCTGGAGACATTTTGGTGTCTGTGACAGCAGTAGCAGGTCATTGGCAAATAGTAACCCATTTTACACGAAAATGTTATAAAAACATCCCTAAAACATTTTATGAAACGTTCCGGAAATGTTGGAAAAATGTTTTTTTCACGTGATTATGAATGGTTCCAGAAACGTTTAAGAACCATTTTCCGGAAACATTTGGTTATAACGTTTCCAAAACGTTTTTGTAAAATATTGAAGAAATACTTTAATTTGAAAACGTTTTATTCATGTGATTTTGTATGGTTCCAGAAACGTTAAAGGAACTTTTTCTGTGAACATTCGGTTATAACGTTTCCAAAATGTTTTGAAAACGAACCAGGGTGCTGGAAAAGCTCAGTCTTTGGCTGCCAATGTTCAAAACGTACACCGCCCACTCACTGTTAACAAGGTAAAAATAATTAAGACAAAAAATCAGGGACTGTACACCCTTCAGGCATGTACTGCAGAAAACACAATACCAATGACCGACATGGTAATGTCTTCAACATTCAGTCAACAAAGAACTTTAAGACTCAGTTCTGTGGAGATTTTAATTATTTTAGAAAACGTTTACACCTTTCTACATCATGATAGTCAGAATCTTCTTTCTTTGGTTTTGCCTTGATCCATTTTTCTAAAACATAAAACAAAATACGTCTGCATCATTCACAGCCCCTGGTGTATTTGGTGTATTCCCCAATATACCTAACATTTCCGTGTGTATCTCCTGGAATGCTGTTGTCTCCTTTTGCCCCTGGCTGCAGCGAAAACAACAATATTCCACATTATAACAAAGTTATAACTTGAACTATATTCAATGAGCATTATATTGTTAATCCAAAGATGAAATGTATCATATAGGTTCATAAAATTATTTTAATTCTAGAGACCAATTTGTCTAGTGACGCTCCATGCTGTGGCCAGTCTCGATCAAACTTACAAATTTTTGTAATTCAGCATTGCTTTTTTCATGGGTACATACTATGGAAGAACAAATGTGTCGGAAACTCAAAATTTAAACAATGTCGCTCATGGGCCTGCCCATACACATACAGGCTGACATGGGCTATGAATAATAAAGTGCCCGCTTGCAAACGTCCTTTGAGAAAATTGAAGGCCTTCATTGATGTAATGAATCTAATTACCAGTTACCGGTCGTCGTATGCTCACATTCTCTTCTTTAGTCCCGTCACATCAATCTTTAACTGTTGTGCGTGTGGGTGACAGGTGCAGTTTGTAAGACATAAAAATGTTCTGTACAGTATTCAAATATCAAGTGGTATGCAAGTCCATGTGCAGCTACATGTACTTATATTGTGCAGCTGAAGAAAACAACCGAAATTTTAATGTGATATGGGAAGAGGAGAAATTTATTTACTTAATGAATTCAAACTGTATACACAAATTGCTTGCCGCAAGGCTATTTAAAATGTTTAGGAGACGACAGTCGTCGCCATGATTATTAAATTACCTCTCTCTCTATCTATCCTTTCTTTTTCTTTCGTTGTTGAATTGAGGATTTTGCTAATGTTTCCTGTGAGTCTTCTGATTTCGTAGCTAAATTCCCCACCTCTCACATTATATATTATGTATATATTTTGTATATATTGCATATAGTGTCTCATGAGCCAATGTCTGGCTGGACGCACTCCATACACCTTTGTTCATCGATTTTATATTGTACATGTTGTGTGTGTGACACTTTAATAAACATTTTACTACCAATGTATTTTCCTAGTTGTTTACACCAGGGGCTTTATGCACTGTGAACTTCATTTCAATGCCACATTGAATAATGCGACTATTACTAACAATGGATCGCAACGACAGACCATCTTTGAAAAGAACTTGGTATCAAACAAACCGTGAGATTAACATTACGAGACCGTGAGAAACAACTTGTTGTATTAGCCAACTTAAATACAACAGCATCCCTTTGTATTTCTACACAATATGATATGCCACAAGCTGACCTCTGGAATACGCTTTAAATACACGTTACTCTCTGCATTCGCCACGGGTGAAGTCATTCATAGCTGATGGGAATTTGATGATTGTTCAAGTACATAAGGGTATATATCTTCCGCATATGCACATTAAAGTTTTCACTTAGATCATTCCGTATTGTGTTGGTTGGTTTCTGGTGCACTTGTTGGCTTTCAGGAATGTTATTGTCTAACCCCCTCAGCCACCGAGGCTTCCACAAAAATGAAAATCCGACAACAGGTACTCTAGGGGAACGTTGCAAGTCACGAATCGCTTAGAGAAAGCAAATTAATCTCTGCAACAGCAACTCTTCCAAAATGGCACAAGTATCGCTTCATTGCCTTTACGTAGAAGAACGTACTAAAAGAGGCTCGATGACGAGCTGATGAAATTGATGACTACTTTGAAGATGTGGAGCAGACAAATGGTATGATGAGTTGTTAGCTACCTTTGCTCATTTCCTCGTTGATCCAGTCACGCATTTCTTGTTCCGCTTGCAAAGTCAGCCACCATTTTGATTTGAGAACGAAGCGACCTCAGCCAGCAATTGTTTCGCTTACAAGCGGCTGAAAGTTAGCGCACTGTTGTAAGGCGAATCACTGTACATCGCTTGCAAGAGATACGCGCTTTGCAAAGCACCCCCAGATCACGTACTTTGTGTACCCCTCTTACAAATGTAAATTGGCACGGCTCCCATGGCCGACAGCTATGAATACAAAATGCCATTTAGAAAGTGGTTAAAAGTAACAAATGTTATATTTACACAATGCCATTTAGATACTGCTGAGATAAGCGGATACTGTGTTTGAAAACGAACTTACCCCCTAAGAAATCAGAGTTCGACGATCCAGCTCTTGCTGCACAATGTCACTTGGATGTAGGGTAAACTTGAACTGATGATGGCGGGTGCAAAATATGACGTAATAGTTTGACGTCATTCTGACGTCTTTTCACGAGACAACATGGCATTTTGTCACAACATTTTAAAATTGTTTTCGAAACGTTTGTGTGATATCAGTTTATGTGCCTCTGTGATCAGCAACAAACAAATCATGTGAACTTTTGTCTTACTCATATCTGCTATATTTTCTTTAGACATTTAGTCTACAGATTAAACTGTAACTGTTGAGAAAATATTCTATTAATGCAATACCAATCCACAGCATTATGAAAAGGGAGTGTGCTGGCTGGGGAACTTGTGTTCAACTATAGGCTGTTTGGGTCGTAATCCGTACTCACTTTAATACATGTCGATAACATTTCATGAAAACATGTTCTAGCATAACATTTCTGCAATGTGTTGAAACATTGCAGTAACATGTTATGAAATAGTTTCGCCTATGTTATAGCATGATGTTCTCGAATAACATTTTGAATAGCTGTAAAACATTTCTAAAACGTTAATAAAATGTTTTGACGAAAATGTTTTTGAAAAACTACAATGAAACCTTTTGAAAATGTTTTGAAAATGTTATGTCTTAGCTGGGAAGTTTGTTAAAGGGACGTCGTCTAGCAATGGGGCAGCAGTATCATTAGTTGATAGGTAGTCCTTCAAGTCGTTAATGTAGATATTGAACAGGGTTTGGCTACAAACACAACCTTGCTTGACTCCTGTATTGGATTTGACAGGACTAGTGACGCCATCCCATGTCTTGATGATATAGGAGACATTTGAATACATGCTGTTTAAAACATTCAGGATTTTTCCTGTATTGCCATATTTTTTCAGTTCATAGTGGAGTCCCTCTCGCCCACACCGAGTCAAATCCCTTGCTGAAATCCACGAAGCAAGTATATAGTTTTTTCTTTGACTGCCTGTACTTCTTTGTGATTGTTCTTAGTATAAACATATTGTTCTGTGGCTGCTCCTGGATCCTGCCTGGCTTGTGTCATAGTGTTTGTTCGAGTCCATATGTTTGGTTATTCTTGCATTAAGTATTGATAAAAACAGTTTTGAGAGACAGCTACCGAGAGCTATGTCTCTGTAGTTGTTAACATCATCGAGATTCCCTTATTTGTGGACAGGTACGATGTATGACTATCTCCATAGTGAGGGGAAAATGCCAGCGTCTAAGATGGTGTTGAAACGTTTAAGTATAGAGGAGGAACGCATGATCATTTCTTTAATCACCAGGTCAGTGGTCCAGTTATTCTAGTAGAGTCCTATGTTACTTCTTGGCTGCCCATTTCCTTCCTTTCTTGTATTTCTTCTGGCCTCATAGAATTTCTTTTGTAACGCTCTATCAAATTGGAACTTTTTTTGTGATCCATCAAGGCTGAATTCCTTTGTCTTCCGTTTCACTTGAACAAGCCTGACTGCACATTTCGGTGCATCAACAAACTATTTGTAAGGTCTGCTGTTGCTGTGTCTACATCACTTTAGGGGAACATGGGAACTAGTCGTTCAGTGAATGAGAGTGTGATGAACGAAGGTTTTTTGTGTAGACGGATCCTGTCTCTGACTTCCAAACGAGTTTTAAGATTCTTTCTGCTTTCATGTTAGAAGGATGAGGTCTTGATTTCTTCTCTTCTGATAGTAAGGGACAGCTGATGTTGGCAAGTATTGAACCGGCCATTGGGTGAGTGGATGGACTTTCAGCCTGTTGAACATGGTGTAATCCTCACACTTTGCAATAACATAGTCCACAGTACTGCATCCCTCATATTTCTAGGATGTGTAATGGCCAAATATGTCACCCATGATCCTACCGTTAAGAATACAAGTGTTTGTGTTACTACATGTTTGTATTAATTCCCTGCAAAACTTGTTGACAGTACAATCAGTGTTGTTCCTGATGAGGGGCAAGTTTGATGTATCCATTGTAGGTGGTAAGGGAGATTTGTCTTCTTTATGATTAGGCAGCAGGTCAAACAGGCTCCCAGTCCTGGCATTGAAGTCGCCTCCCACCACTAGAAAGCCTTTTGAGCCATAGAGTACAAGCTTTTGTTCCAAAACAACAAATAAAACAGATTGTTTACTTCCTCAAATAGTGGAGTTCTCTGGTGGAATATAGATAATACCTATGTAGATATCGTTGGCAAGATTGAATATTTACCCATTGATCTTTATCCACAGCATGTCCCCGGCGTCCTGATCAAAGACTTCTAGTGAAGATTCATATGTTTTCTTGTACATTAAAGCTGCACCATCTCTCGTTTTGTCACCTCTACTATCGGAGCTTCTTAACCTAGGGTTGCATATCATATTATAGTCTTTAAAGCTATCACTAAATACTTCAGCTTCTACCTCCTCCTGTTTAAACCAACATTTGGTGAGACCTATGAAATCAGGATATTCTATGGACTGGAGCAAATCCCACTCTTGTCCATACAATGGATATTGTCTTGTATTGATGACTGTGCATGAAAGTAACATTCACTGTTTCCTCGGAACAATTCGTAGGTTCCAGCATTAATGTGTAGCCTTAACCCTCCTCCTGTCTCAGTGATGGTCACACCCACCCTATCAACTGCCGCCATCTTAGATTGTATGGCCTGACCCTTGTTGATGGTGTAGGGTTTCTTCCTGCAGGAGGCGCAATCTTGTTTCTTGGCCGGCACCACCTAACATGTCATCATTTCTTTATCTTCTATTTGCTGACTTCTTTTCATGCTTACAGTCAACAGCTATGATGCAACGTGTTCTTGATTGTGTTACACAAGTACAGTGTTCTTGATTCTGGCCAAATCACATATTTTGGAGGAGGAGAATAAATGTCTGCTCCCTCCAAATGACCTTGACATGTAGCTATATGATCACTTTTGTGTATATGATCACTTTAGTTTCCGGTAGCACACTGGACTAAGACGTCGTTCGCTAGCCCTGCAAGGATCCGATGATCGTTGGTTCGAATTATACTCTCGCACTAAATAGTATCCTTAGTCTGCCAGAACTATACACGTTTGGGTTGGTTTCACAAACGTGTTAACCTTTATATGTTTTGGCTGCCCTCAAAGCTTCAGTTGGTTGGTTGGTTTGTTGTTTAACGCCAAACTCAGCAATATTCCAGCTATATGACGGCGGTCTGTAAATAATCGAGAGTCTGAACCAGACAATCCAGTGATTAATATCACGAGCATCGATCCACGCAACTGGGATCGATGACATGCATCTGGGATCGATGACATGCATCAACCAAGTCAGTGAGCCTGACCACCCGATCCCGTTAGTCGCCTTTTTCGACAAGCATAGTTGCCTTTTACGGCAAGCATGGGTTGCTGAAGACCTATTCTACCCCGGAATTTTCACGGGTGAGTCTCAAAGCTTCAGTTATTCAAAGATGAGCTAAACCCAAGTCACTCACTCGGTTACACGTTAGGGTAAATATTTGCCTTGATCAACACTCTCATTATTCTGTAATGTCTTTTGTAAATATGTAAGTGGCCCCTCATTTATACATCATAATTCAACGATGTGTCTTTCCCAGAAACAATCACATATACACGTGAGAAACATCTGATCTACATGTATTTCAGTATAAAGACGTACATATAAAAGCCGAGGCACATTTTCAACGGCAATAAAATCAATTACAAAATGTTCACTCAGCATCCCTATGATGGATTATGGAATTGAGGCCAAGCAGAACCACCACGTCAAGCCTCCAGGAACATGACCTTGATGAAACCTGACACCAAGAGGAAGCCATGCGGAAAGTTTGAAAACACGCATTCATGAACCTCTGGCGATGAAACTGTATACCTAACAAACCGTCCCAGAGTTTATAGCCAAGTATGTATCGGAGCAAGACTAGACTAACACTAGAATATATATTATAGAAACAAACAACTCCATTTAATTTGAAAAGGAGCCCTAGTAAGATTGGATATTCAGAACCTGGGGAAAATCCTGCTTCATTGAGCCCTTTTGCATTACAGTGAGGACTGACAGGAAGAGAAAATATTATGGTTCAGGGAGTGTGAGACAGACTAGAGCAAGGCCTGCACTGGCATTTATGGGTTAATAGGAAATAAGACGAATACTGACATAAATAGTATTGTGTAAACCTACTGCGTTTTTAAGTAGACAGCGCGCCTGGTAGTCACGCAACCTACAATCATTGTTCGCAACAGGTCACGGTGTTTGTTTTCATGACCTGCAGCAATGACTCGTAAAGCACATGAACGTAATAGTTACTGATTTAAGGGCCGAGTGATGTTCTTGGATGATTACTTTACCAAGCTTTTAGCTGGTGTTTGTTCACATCATTGTCACAGAACACGCAGCGTTTTAACACTGTCTCATCAAAATGCAACGGCACCAGTTGGCTTTTGTTGTCGGGTTTTGTTAGTGTAGTAAAATGGTTTTGTGATGTTTTCAATTCGGTGGTTGCAACTGATTCTCCCATCAGATATGGTTTGACTGTAGTGCATACTTTAAGGGACTCATTAGGCAGGCATAACATGGCTATAACTGCTATAGACCTTATTCCACAAGAAACCAGCCTGGATTGAACATATCATGACAGTGTTTTTCTTGGTGTGTTTGTTGCCAACATTTTTTGTACTTTGAATGTGAAAGGTTTTGCAGATTTTGTTTTTTCGTGCATTTGTCCTAAAACAGAGATTGTCAAAAATGAAATATTTGAATCTATGGATTTTGTGCCTCGATGATTTGTCTGTTGTTTGGCGTCACACTCGTTAATATTCCAGCAGTTTGACGACGGCCTGCACAAAATATGGACCAGACAAAACAGTGATTATTTTACTGGCAGTGCCTCACGTCGTCGGGGTATGATGACATCCAATCAACAAAGTCACCAATCCTGAGTACCAGGTTCATTAAGTCGCCTCGTACCATAGGTTGACCACAAATATCCCCTCAAATATTTACCGAGATCATATCCCTGCAACGCTCCGACAACATGGATACAACATTAACGAAATCACGTCTCTCCAACGTTACATTACTACAGATACGACATTAACGAAATCACGTCTCTCCATCGTTACATTACCACAGATACGACATTAACGAAATCACGTCTCTCCATCGTTACATTACTACAGCTGCAACATTAACGAAATCACGTCTCTCCATCGTTACATTACTACAGATACGACATAAACGAAATCACGTCTCTCCAACGTTACATTACCACAGATACGACATTAACGAAATCACGTCTCTCCATCGTTACATTACTACAGATGCAACATTAACGAAATCACGTCTCTCCAACGTTACATTACCACAGATACGACATTAACGAAATCACGTCTCTCCATCGTTACATTACCACAGATACGACATTAACGAAATCACGTCTCTCCATCGTTACATTACCACAGATACGACATTAACGAAATCACGTCTCT